CAAAAAAAGTTGTGGTCATTTTAGATATTTTTTTTTGTCTCTTAGGCCATGTTTACATCTCGTATTTAGAGCAATTTTGTTCGATCGTATCACAAGTAAATGCAGGTGTAATTGGGGTCTAAAAAAATGGAGCTTGTTCATTTTCGACCACTTCAGACGTAGTTAAAAATTTATTCGACCGAATTGCTTCTGTAGTGTAAACGCTCATGTGGTCAAATGCATTCGTAAAGCTACAAAAGACCTAATTAGGGATGTCCTGATTTTTCTATTCAGTGTAACATGATCCTTATATGAGAGGCAGGAATTTTAGCCATTTTGTAACATGACATGATTTGAGTAGACTTGTTCACCCCAGTGTCTATAGTGATTAAGGCAATGTTTCAAAAACTCTGCATGCCACCATTGACATTTTCTATGATAGTATGATTTTTTTATTAACATAACCACAAGTGTAGGCTACCCATTGTGACAAATCATGGATAACATATCTCATTAGCTTTTTCTGCCGTACTTTTAAATGTCAATTTGTGGATCCGAGTAAGTGTCCTTGTTTGTATGAGCTTTGATAGGTTATTTAAATCTGCTTTGTCGCAGAGTCCATGATTCAGTTATTTGGATGAACTGGGTGTTTGTCTGCATCCCTGGTGACAGGGAAGTGTCTGATTTAGAGCTTTTCTGAGAAACCTGTAAACAGAAGCACTCCCTGAATCAACTTCATAATGTAAAGCGTTAGAGTCAGAGAAGTAGGGGACTTTACTGGCTCAGAGGAACAAGCTCTGGAACCATGCTGTGTTCTAGGAAATGACAGCAGTCTTAGAATAAATAAAAATACCAAAATCAATCTGGGAAAGACATTATTTGTGTACTTGTACCAAAACAGCATGTAATACATTTGGATGGGATTATATAAATATGCATTTCGTATTTTATAAATTCATGAGTTGAATTTACACTTTCTGTTTTCTCAGAATATTAATTATTGAGCAGTCTAAATATAAGATTTCAGAGCCAGTAAAACATTCAGTATGCAAGTATAGTAAATTAAAATTTCGTATTGTCAACTCAAGTTAGGGCAAAAAGGCTTCAGTCGATGAGTTGCAAACTATCTTAGTGGTTGTCCCCTTCTATCTTTACCCCAATTTTTTTTTCTCTGCCGTGTCTTTTTATTATTATTCCCTTTTTACTTTGTGCTTGCCAGCTTCTCCAGCTTGGTGTACCACATGCTTTGTCCTCAGGTGATCTTCAGTAAACAGCCTAAAAAACCCCGATTAAACCCAAACAATTTAAACTAAGCCCCTGTTGACTTCAGTTGTTTGCCCTTAATCCCCATCAAGATGGCATATAAAGACTCCAGCCCTCTTTGGCACTGTCACTATGTGCATTTTTGGATTAAGTGGACCAATGTATGCAAGTCTAAAATGTACAGCTTTATGGATTCCAGGAATAATCGAGCTCTTTTAAGAAGTGTCCAAGGTGCAGGCAACAGCTCTTTAAAAGTTTTGCAGTTACTCTACTCCATTTTCTTCTCCTCTTTTGTTTAGGGCTTGAATAGATTTTGAGGTAAACAAATCTCTCACCATTGATGGACTGTGGCATGTTTTACAAGTGGCTCAGGCTATCAAATTCATCTAAAGTAAAGAGCTGCAAATTCATAAACTGCTAAACCCACCTAGAGAGATGTTTGCATCCCATCTCTCCCTTGAGTAATTTATTTATATCTCCTGCTGTCCCTTTCCAGCCACTTTCTATTCATCCCTCCAGAAAAGAAAAAGAAAAAGACACTTAAACAAAACAAAAGACGTATTTCCTCTCTTGCTCAACCTTTGGAAAATTTACTTTGTGGCCATAAAGCATCTAATAGTCTTGAACGCCACAGCTCTTTACTGGTCCCAAACCCTTAGGCTGAATCCCAGTTCAACCCTTGGCCCTACCCCTTGTTTTCGAGTGTAAAACGGAGTTACAAGGGCCAAGGGGTTGAAATATTCCCCTACGAAATGGAACAACCCTTCATGAACCCGATACGTCATCAGTCGTCGGCGATGGCTCTGCCGTTACAGAGTTTGTACAGGATTTCTCCATGACAACACCTGACAATCAGCGCAGCTGCTCTTAACTTTGAATAAACATGATGATTAACATCCCTTCCTCGAAATGTATGTCTTTTCTGATCGGAAAGGTAATTTATTATACCATTTCTTAATTTAAACGGCTATAGTGTTATTATAAGAGTAAATAAAGTGTATGGTGGAATCATCTGGCGCTAATTTTAAAAGTTTAACCGTTTGCGATCCATCTCGCCGGTGATTTCCAATGCATTCCGTGAAGTTTTCTCTTAGCCCTCCATTTGGTGTGTGCCTCTCAAAAAAATCTCCGTTTTGAGGGCTATGTAGCCCTACCCCTTCGCCCTACCCCTCGATCTCAAGAAGAATCGAGACACCCTACCCCTAGACGTGAACGCGCAAAACGGAGAGGTAGGGCTAAGGGGTAGGGCCAAGGGGTGAATTGGGATTGAGCCTTAGTCTGCACATCTACAGCTACCAATGTATAGTATGTCTCACCTCAGAGCTCACGGTTTAAAGAGGACAAGTGTTCGGTTTGTTGGCCACTAGACGGCACAGTTTTGAAACCGATCTCCTTCCGCGAGCCCACACAAAAAGGTTTTTAAAATCGTATCAGATTTTTTTTCCTGTAGTATAGTGCAATACCGCAATGTGACCAAGGCAGCACACCACACACTAAAATATTGAATTACCAAACAACCAGAGTCCCAACTGTGCAAAATCTCTCGCCCTCAAATGTGAGTAGGGCTGCACGAAAAAAAAAATTAAATAAAAATGATTTGTTTTGATTTTTCTGCAATATAAATCGCTGTCAATTAAATAAAACATTTGGTTGAAACAATATTGGATTGAACCACAATCCATAGAGGTTTTGATGCTATTTATGGAGACCTTTAACAGCATATACTCCATTTCACAGATTGTCATATCTTTGCGTGTTGTCAGACAACTGCTGTATTGGAGCATTGGGGCCAGTTTGAAGCCTGTTAAACGGGTGTACTGCATCCACATAAAGAAGATTGATCCTCAGTGTCCCATTCAAGATGACCAGCCATACTACAACACAACTTAACCTGCACGCACAAGGCTGCCACGCTAGTATATCTGCCACCTACAATCACATTAACCACTAACATTTTGACAAGAGCTGTTTGTCAGTCTCAAGCCTGATAAGGTGGTGAGAGACTTGTCTGGAAACTTCTGCTATTGTTCACACCATCAGGCCTTCCCCACTGACATGAGGCCATAAATGTGTCTAAATCTGAATAGTGGCTGTAGCACAAAGCCTATGTGCTATGTTATGCCCATCCATCTTCATGGTTTTTAAATTGTTCCTTGAAAGACAGGCAGCAAGATGAGTTATACAGTATATTGTGTGGTTTATTGAGAAACATGCTATCAGTAATTATCAGCTTTTTAATTATCCATTTTAACTAATTTGTACACAACTTTAAATTGTACACTCACTTTTTCAAACTGCACACATTGTATTTCCCCAAATATATCTAAAACCCCTGAATAAATTCAAAGCATGGGAAAGGTCACAGTTCTACACAAGGAATGAATTAATGAATAATTAATATAAATAAAGTACTTGTAATCTGGTTTGGATTGGTAAACATCAGAATGATTTTGGTTTTATCATTGTTTATACCGAAAACAAAAACTAAACTGACTTGAGTGGGGTATGCCAATGCATCAGATTTTTCTGCCTATCTTAGCAAAGCCATAGTATATATTTTTTTCTCTTAGCAGCTTTTGTTAATCGTCAAATCCTTCGCCATGTCTGTTTAGGCTCAATGTTGGTAAACGGCCAAGATTACAAGAACTTGGGAGATATTTTGCATGCTGTAATGCTGGATTAAACATCTATTCTTTGTGCGCTGTAGACAATAGAGTCTGTGTGGATGGCTGTAATTAAAATTAGTCATAGAGAAAATATGGATTTTCTCACGCTGTCCTGTATTCTAAAGCAGAGCAGGTGTGAAATTGATAAAATGGTGGCTGTACTTTCTCGGTCCACCACCTCAGGCAGCAGTGCTTAGAGAGAAACCATTTAACTCACCCCAGGCCAGCCATGATGCACGTGGCGACCCAACCGTCGGAACGAGTCAAGCTTATGCCCCCCGCATTCATTCTAAACGCATCCTGTCAAATCTGAGTTGAACTTAACTGATATCTTGCTGCCTCTGTCTCACCTCACACTGTGTATCAGGAAACCAAGAGATTTTTAGACCCCCTACTCAAATTTGTCCCTGAAGAGAACTTGTGGCTTCTTACCTCTAAATGCTGGGTGCTTTTTCAACCTATGTTTGGGTCATCTATGGACAAACCCAACCATTGAGTTTAAAAATGTAATTAAGGGCGTTTTCACACCTGAAAGTCCCCACCAAAGTTCACGTTTTGATACATTTTATACTTTCAGAAAGTTTTTCAATTATGCGAGCACATTAAAGAACTTTACGTGACATACTTGCGTCTTGTCGTCATCATCTATGTGGGCTGCATCTTGACATTGATTGGTTTTGTAAATAGACGTGTGTCTGACGTAAGCGTGTTGTCAATTCGGCAGGTAACTTTGACAACATGAATGAACAGATGCATATCGTTGCAACTATATTGTTATTTTTATGGCATAATTACCTGCAGTACCAACTATACACAAGGATTGTTCAAATTCACCAAATGAACGTCCTTGTCATGCAAACATTTTATTGTCGCCGGCAGGAAAGGAGGAGACTGCAAGTTGACTTCTTGTGTCATCTGACCATTCTTTAATTAAAAACCTCGTCTCCTCCTCTCCCCATGTGCTACCACAGCTCATTTTTCCTGCCATCTTCTGTTGTTTTGTTTTTTTTCCGGCTATGTGGGAACCACAGGAACTTCCTGTAAAAGGTCTGAAAGTCCGAACGATATAGAAATGCTTTCAGACTAGAAATGAACCAAACCTTTGTTCAGTTTGATCCGGACCAAGACTACCTCTTTTCGTCGGACCAAATTTCATCTGTTGTATCTGGACCGTGATCCGGGGTAGGTTTCACGCCTTGTAATTTTGATTCGGACCAAACTGAAAAGTCAGAAAGTCCAGACCAAACAAGGTAGATGTGAACCAACGATTGGGTTTTGTCCCTGACCCAAACATGGGTTGAAACAAAACAGCATTTGTGTTGCAAATATAAAGATTAATAGGTCAATAACATTGTTGCTATGTTTCTAGAATTTGTTTCTAATTTGTTCCTAAATTGACCTAAATATGATGAGAATGTTTTTAATTTCTGAATTGAATATATATATATATATATATATATATATATATATATTGGGGGGCATAAACAAACAAACAAAAAGTCTGTCTGGGTAATGCTGCTATACACTATTATACTGTACATAATTCATTATTCAATGCAATTGATAGTCACAAATACATTTTTAATGTGAAATATTTATATTTGAAATTATGTTATTTTGATAAAAATAATAATCAGTTTATTATAATTATAAGAACTATTTATTGCACAGTAAATCTTAGCATACTAGATTGAATTCTGAAGAAATTGGAATGGTACATGTATTCTAAAATATATTTAAAAATATTTGGAAATGTTTTTACTATCTATCTTTTCTAAATATCTTTTCTTTTTTAATTTGTAGTAATTATTTAGAATATTACATTTATATAATATTATCAAATAAATACAGCCTCAAGTTTTGTGTGAAAGATATATGTATTGTGTGTGTAATATGCTTTTGTATGTGTGTTTTAAAAGCTAGATTTTTAAATCTATATTTTTTTTTTTCCTTTTTTTTTCCATCTGACTCTAATATGTCATTGACTCTAACATCGGGAAATATCACGAGTTTCGGACAAGTTAAAATATCTCATCTCACTTTCTGTTGCTGTTCCCCCCTAGGCACTTTGTCTATATTGAAATGTCAAATCTATCCCATAGTAAGCAAACAAAGGAGGAAACAAGGAGACAAGCATCAAGGAGAAAAAGTTTCCCATCACTTATTTCTCCCAATAGGATCTTTACATTGCAGAAGTCTCTAGATGGCTGAAAATGTCATTTTGCACTCAGTCTCTGGGGTCTAACTCGGTATTTCAATTTACAATGACTGAGGCAACTGAGGCCTTTTTCTGGTTGTCTGCGATATACTTGCCATGCATGTCATGTCAAAATGCAGCAAGTCCTTTTTATATATTTATTTTGTTTTTCTTGTTATGAAGGTGAACGTGAGCAGTTGGAAGATGCGTCTGTGACTGTACTCATGTCATATCAAGCATATCCAACATTCTATGAGATTCTCATCTGGATGCGTGTGCAGCTCCTTTTGAACATCAGGCGTTGTGCGTATGGTGTGTGTCAGTGGGGTCCCTACATGTCATGTTTTATACCAGATATCTGCTTTGATGCTGCCACTTTAATATCTTCACACAACCATATATAATCTGTTTTTAGTAGATAATCCAGCTAACTTCTCAGGCCTTGACATCTGCCTAAAGACTTAGGATATAGTCATGGCTCAGATTTTCTTTCTCTTTGGTGTGTGTTTGTGCGCATACAAAACACAATCTTAGTGATACTGCAATGGCGAGGCTAGGATAAATGCATCAACTGCTTTTCTGTTGTTGTTTAGTAACTCCACTCGGAGGAAGATTCGTGCATTCTATTATAGGAGAGGTGAAGATGTTCAAAGATGCAGGAAATTTTTCAAATCACATGGTTCTGTATCTGTAAAAAAAGAGTGCAGAAATAAATACATTTGAACAGAAATGGAGGGGTGGAGGGGTCTTGTTAATTTTTTGGTTCTTCTCTCTTTGCTTTTCTCTCGCTTTCTGACTACTGATGTGTGCAAATTATAATGTAATGTGTTTAAATGTTTACTGGAAAACATTTAATCTAAAAAATGCTTGCATGAAGGAACTGCCAGCAAACGTGATTAGATTATTCATTCCCGAGCATCTCAAAACAAATGTATATTCTTTATTCTGCTCAGTATTTATAGTTGCTCTCGATTTTAAAGGGGTGGTTCAGAATTTTTGACATCGGGCCTCATTTCCAAATGAGCCTAAACAAGATGCTATTCATAAATAAATATTCAGAGATGATTAACAAGATGCTATAGAATAATCATTTGTTGAACCTAAATTTGACAATAAACTGACATTCAATCTATTTTAAGACTTTACTGAAAATGTACTGAATTTGCCAGGGCGCTCTCTCTCTCTCTCTCTCTGCTTGTTACACACCCAGTCAAGCGCAGCACTCTCTATTCCACATTACTGACAGATCAAAATAGGCTTTGGCGGGACAGAAATTTGCTTTTGCGGCCGCCAAAAAAGTGGACGATCTGGCGGGTTTTATTCGATTTAATACAACCCGAAACTAAAAAAAAAAAAACAGACCCGGCCTCTATTTGAGACCGGCTTTTATTTACCCAAACCTGCAGCCACACCAGGCGTGTAAAAAAAGACAGGCGTCTATTTGGGACTTGGCTATTATTTGAAGTTTTACGGTATTAACTTAGTTACACTATACTCTTAGTTACACTGTCACTCTACACAATGCATTGAACTGTTACGTATTCTTCACTAACGTTGTCAGTGTCGATCTATCAGTTATGAAAGGGCTAGCTTCGTTAGCTAGCTAGAGTAACGTTAGCCTAACAAAATATATCACCTGTACACCTGTAGCTGTTGGTGCATCTGGAAAGACGGTTGGAACTGCATTCCTTGTCATAAACCTGTGACCGTTTCGATTAAATGGTTCTTTAAAGTCGACTGTCTGTTAAGTTCCTTAACTGTTACACTAACCTCCAAAACCTTTAAAATGAATACTTGGGTTTATATTCCCTTAAAAAAAATAAAAAATAAAAAAAAGACTCAGTGAGACTCTTCCATGTGCCATTTGTATTATAAATGTTTTACTAAATCAAGCTCAAATGAAGTTATGAGGATTTTGAACCTTGCATTTCTGAGAATTTCAAACAAACGCGTTTTGTCTGTCATTAGAACAACCCCTTCTGAGGCTATAAGTAATTTATATTATGTTTTCCACCAACTTACAGTAGCTATGTTGACGCTCCGTTTTTTTCTGTCATTTGGCCAAAATCATGTTCTAAAATATAAAGTACTATGCACAGGATTTGTATGACGGTATTGGCTATGACTCGACAAGAAATGTTAGACTAAGACACTCTTCTCTGCTCCTCAAATGCATTAATTTTGCACCTTGATGGGGTACATTATTTTATTTGTATCTCAAAGCTGTTCTGCATATTTGCACTGCTCTGTTTGGTCTGTGGATGAAGTCATGGCATGCATGGCACATCAGAATCACCCTTGATCATTCATTTGCACACAAAGACAAGCTTGTGCATATTTCCTCTCTTGTAATCAGTTGTGCAACACTGGCAAGGAAAATACAGTTCCCTTTCGTTGTCACTCCGATTTCTTCGAGAAGAGCCACTCTCTCCGTTGTTGGTGTGACACCGATGTGAAGAGAGGTCACATTGCGTGCTGGTCTGTGAAGTGATCTGCCAGTGAGTGTGTTTCTCCCTGCTTTCTTCAACGTCGCAGAGTTTTTTTTTTCTCCTCTCACAAAGGAGCTCGCACGCAGCACGTCTTTTTAAAGACGTCTGGCCCGAGTATTTTTGATTGCGGTCATTTACGATTTAAATGGGCACATAATCTGCTCTGCATGCTTGGGCTTCATCACGCTAGAGCAGCGTTTGTGGATGACTCAAAATCTCCCCGCGGGAATGTGACCATTGGGTCATTACGGTCGAGACTCAATGATCTCGTTAGAGAGAGAGAGAGAGAGAGTCACCTCATCCACACATGAGGTGCTACTTCGGCTGGTGGCCAGGGTAACCTGAGGGTGTGAGCATAGAAAAAAAACTCAGAGTGTTTGTCCATGGACCAAGACCCCTCTTCAGTGATGCAACCTGCGAGTGTTCAGGGGATTCCCCAGGTCTATTTTTGAATTCCGCGGGTTTCCCTTGACACTCAAGAATCGGATCTGTTGTCCATCGCAGCATCACAGGGCGGGCTAGAATCTTCAGCAAGTGAAGATAAGACAATGCTGCAACTTTCGGGTGTGCATATGGCATTTGTCGAGTCAGATCCTGAGATGACGGCCCGCTGCGAACATCGGACTAGAGTGGAACCTTCCACCCTGTCCTGAGCGCTCGCTGCTGGACGATTGTTGATCCGGATTGATCTCGGATGAGAAGGAGATCTCGATATCCTCGAAGACCCCAATGTCTTCCAGCGATCCCTTGTTGATCTTCTCCGCCCTTCCTTCCTTCCTTCCTTCGAAAGGGCCGCTACCCATGGGTACACTGGGGTCCCCCCGGGTTGAACGCTCAATCGTGATGCTACTGTGTCCTCAGAGTGCTTCTTCTCGGCCCTATTCTAAGCAACCGTCCGAAGCCTGTAACTTCGAGTATACAAAACGAGCCAATGGCAAAGAGTCCATGGCTATGAGAAGGATGTCTTAGTCTAACATTTCTTGTTGAGTCATAGCCAATACTGTCATAAAAAGCCTCCTACAGGACAGGCAGCCGCCTCACTGCATGCCATGACCATTCTGCTGGTGCTCATGGAAATGCACAAGGACGGGACTGACCCAGCGCTCCAGCATCAGGTGATGCCTAGGGAAGGACGAACTGATCACCCCTTGTCCTCCTCTGTCCCAGAGCCGGATGACAGTGCGTGCTGTCCCCGGACCATGCTGCTCTCATCCTCCTCTGTCGCAACCCCCTGGCAGAGCAGACCCCTGCCCAGTCATTCTGCCTCGCTGCACCACTGATGGAAAGTCTGTGGTTCATTTGACCCCATTGGTACAGTCGTTGGAAAGCCTGGCTAGAGCTTCCGGACCTGTCCCGCTGGGTCGCTCGGACGACCAGGCTCAGCTTCGCAATTAAGGGGAGTCTGCTCCGCTATGGTCGCTGGCAATGCCCCTATCAGGAGAGCGGAGATTGCTACCCTGCTGGCAAAGGGTGCAATCGAGACTGTGCCTCCAGCCAAAATGAGGTCCAGCTTCTACAGCCCGTACTTCATTGTCCCGAAGAAAAACGGTGGGTGATGGCCAATCCTTGACCTGCTCGTTCTGAACCGCTCCCTTCACATGCTGCCATTCAGGATGCTCATCAACAAACGCATTTTCGAATGTGTGCGGCCCCAGGATTGGTTTGCAGCGATCGACCTGAAAGACACCTACTTACATTCTCTTGTCTCCATTCTCCCTTGACACAGACCATTCCTATGGTTTGTTTTGAGGGGCAGGCATACCAGTACGCGGTTCTCCCTTTCAGGCTAGCCCTGTCTCCTCGCGTCTTCACGAAGGTCGCCCAGGCAGCCCTTGATACCCCTTGGGAACATAGGGTTCGCATCCTGAACTATCTTGACAACTGGCGGGAATCTAGCTCACTCTCAATATCAGCTTTGCAAACACAGGGACTTGGCCCCATCTGGGCCTTCAGGTCAACTGGGAAAAGAGCAAACTTTTTATACCCACGAGGTAAGGCGGAGATGCGCTATGCAAATTCCACTAACCCATGGCATTTTCTTTGCCCTTTGGCTCGTTTTGTATAAACAAAGTCGAAAGGCTTTCTAAGTGAAACCCCATTCGTCGCCATCTGACGGAACGTCTCTGTTCCCTACTCTCTATTCGCTATACAGAGATTTTACAGAGAGGTCTTCTTGAATCTGTTTGATATGTCTTGTTTTTAGCTTGCAGTTCCACTATTTATATTGATTTGCCACATGCTTTCTGTATCTATGATAAAACCTAAATGGTGGAAGAACAAGCTGAGAAACTGACATGATGCAAATGTTCATACTCTTATATAAATAGATATATTTCACATGCAGTTATTTTGTTATCATGACAATTTTATGTTGACTCAACTCAGTGGAGGGTGTGATGGGTGCATATTAGCTGTTCAAAGCATATTCATGATAATCTCAACAGGTGGCATAACATGTAACAAAGGAAAAAGATCAACCAGCATCGCTCAGCAGACTTTCACTGAAAATAACAATAGGGACGTTATAGCTGTCTGGCCTTCTGGAGCTGTGTAAGAATTCCTGCTTGGATGATCCACCTGTGAGACGCCAGTGTAACATCAGGGTTCTCATGTTTTATCAAAAGCTTGGAGTCAGATCACATCCGGTTAGGAGAGAAGCCCTAATGGAGTCCCGCCCCTGCCACCCAATTTTACCCATTGTTCATGATTAACCAGCACAAATTGAAGTTATAATAAATGGTAAATGTGATGAATGGCTTGGTCATTTATCAGATCAAATAAACTCTTTAATGTTATATTTCAAAATTCAAAATTACAAAAATATAAGAAATTGCTCCAAACAGTTTGGAAAAACAAACCTTTTTTTTGCATTTTTAATGTGTCTAGTCGAAATGGTATTATGATTTATTGTGTGGTGGGACTTATTAGAGTATTAAGATGTGTGTGTGTGTGTGTGTGTGTGTGTGTACACTCCAGCTTATGAATTGTGTTTTGTGTTGTAACATTAAATGTTTGTTGCACATTTTTAAGCCTTGATAACAGGGGTAGGGGGCATACATTAATGTATGTTTTGACAGGAAATGAGAACTCTGCTTTAATACATGTAGCCTTAATGTAACTAGAAAGACTATTAATACAATATAATATATAATTTAAAATAAAATGAAGAAATACATCTTCAGTCTTTCCCATACCCACTAACATTTCCCCAAGTTTCAGATAGCGTAAGCTAGCCAAACTGAGCCAAAACTTCTGGCCTGGTTGCAAAGTAGTTGTAGAGTTTTTGACTGCATTAATAATAATGTATATGATGGGCTATAATATTAAATGTTCCAGCCTAAAAATGTAAGACGAGCTTTCTTCCAACTTACCTTCTCCATCACTTTGTGTGTTCACGCAATGTTTTTGGTTGCCTAGTAACGAATGCAATCTGGCCGAGATACAAGCTGGCGGCAGGAAACTTCACTTTGTGTGCCTGCGCCTCGTATACAACGTTATATAAAGCTTGCATGACAAATTGGCTCAATCAGTCTAATTTGTCAGTAATTGTGAAGGGGTTGGAGGGAATGTTGATAAATCTGAGGTCCAACTGTCACTGAGCCCAAACCATGTGGCTCATTTTAGTCTCAAGTTTAGCTGTATATCATTACCCAGCCCGTTTCTTGACTTAGACAGATGTAGTCTCAAGCCTCAATAAGAGGATGACCGTAAAAAGGTTATGCTAAAAGTCGACATTAATACTTTTTTTTTGATGAGTGTTGGCTAATTAAGCAAATGAGACCATAACTAAAGGGCAGTCAAACAATATGTAAATATCAAAATGTTTACCTATTTTATACTTTGTTTAGATCATTTATAGTTATATGATAGAGTTCCTAAATTTTGAAATGAAAGTTTGTTGTGAGATTAAAGTCTATACTAATTCATTTTGAGGAGTCGCAAAAATAATTGATGAAACATGGTAAACTTTTAAGCACTCTTAAATGACTTTCATATAACAAAAAAAAAAGTTTTGTTTTACTGGTTTTAATAAAAAAGATTGCCTTTAGTTTAAGAAACACCCACCTGCTTTATAACAAGCACATTCAGTTCAGACCAAATTATTGCTGCAAGGGGTGAGACAAGAGACGGATCAAACAATATCAGTATTCTAAGAGCTAACTAGGCTGCTAACTCTACACTACCATATCTGCAGCAGACACTAAGTAAAATGCCTATTTAAAAGTGAAATGTCTATTTAACCACACATTTAAGGGAGTTCCGTAGGTGGGGACATTTTTGCCTCAAATATTACTGATATTACATGGTTTTGTTTGTTTCAATTATTTTCAATTATTTTATTTTTTATATTTATATTTATTTAATTATTATTATTATTTTGTCTTCCAGTTCAGATAAGACATGGATTCATTAAGACGATTCATCAGGACACGGCTGGACTGGAACAGGCAAGGCACTCTGGCAACAGTGAGGACTGCACTGCGGCCAGTCGAGGTACGGAAGCCTGTGAGCTTTAAACCTCTCGTTCTCACTTAAGAGTTTACTGCTGCAAACTCAAAATACGTGACGGCTCTTGGAAGTAAACATTTAACCGTCTCTTTTGCTTAATTTTAATAAAGACCTTTAAAAAGCAGCAGTATTTTTATTGGCATATTAAAAAGAATCTTAACATTGACAAAGCATAGGCTACTCATTTTCATAAATGCTCACAGTAAATTAAAATAAGATATAAACTTATATGAAAACAATGTCTATAATAGGCTAATTTGTAAGAAATGGTTAAAAGGTTGTGACATTTATTGAGAAACAGCCCATGTCCACATGCATAAATGCACAGAGATACTACAATGTGATTGGCTGAGTAGATATTTGCTTAATGAGCAGTTGAAAAGGTGTACCTAATAAAGTGTATGCGTCACAGAAACTAAAATTAAATCTGGCAATCACTTCATAACACTTGTATTAAACTACTCTATCGATTTGTTTCTAGATGCCTTTATAACTTGTACGCATACAGATTGTAAAATAAATCCATATGGATTAAATGGTTAAATCCAAGACTTTTGATAAACAGAATTTTTATTTTTGGGTAAACTAAATATTTAACAGTGTAGTACGAATGATGGACAGTCAATGGTGTCTACAAACAAACTCCTTAAAATCTTCCTTAACCACACAAAGGCACATTTGCATAGAACACTCTCGGTGGGGTTAAAGGGGTTCACCTTGAAAAAGGTTTTTTTAATGGACCATGTAAATAATTCATTACATTCAAGTTTTTTTTTGTGGCAGATATGCGAGAAGTGTGGAATCAGAAGTAGTATGCAAATTGGGGCATGGCATTCAAATTGATTACACCAAACACCAGAAGAACTGAAACGCAGAAATGGATTTGTACAATGATTTACACAGAAATTCGATCTGCTTGTGTTTCATGAACAGGTCCGTTGTCAGTAAACTGTTCCCGTAAATTTAAGACTTTAGTTTATTTTTGGAAACAGATTTATTCAGAAATTAGTTTTTCTTGTGTTTTGCACGCACACACACATTTGAATGCATTTATTTGGATCTGAAAGACATTACCAAAAAAAAAAACAAGATCCAAAAACCCTGGGAAGGGTCATTTACAAGGTGACAGATCTACAATTCAGTCTTCCTTGGAAGACACTGTAATCTTGCTTTAATCATGAAAATTAAAATGTCATCTGAGATTGAAGAGTTTTTCAGGACATAATGAAACACTGACTATGTTTACATGCAGCCAATAACCGTTCAAAACCAGGATATTAGCAATAACCCGGTCGCGAACGGCCATGTAAACACCGGCAAAAACCCGAATATGCTCATATCCCGGATTTTAAAAGCCGGGATATTATACCTGGGGTACCCCTTTTCTAACCCGAATTTTTGGTCATGTAAACGCGTATCGGTTGTTTATTGTTGTTGTCTTTGGATGCAGGAAGAAGAATCGGAAATTCTTTTAAGGTTGTCCGTACGTCTAGACGCTAACCGCGCGTCACCGTTTACATCGGGATATTGCAATTCCATGTAGGAGAAACTCTCTCTGCCCACGCATGTAAACGGGTTATTCCTAATGTTTCAGAAACCCGAATAGTGACCTTATCTCGACCATAACCCAAAAATTGGCTGCATGTAAATGTCACTAAATCTTTAGCAAATTTTCCTTGTAGCCTGAGACCCATCCAGTGCTGTCCATTTTTGGTCTGTCTATGAAGAATTGAAGCTCTTCCGCGTTTAATCTGTAGCTGGTGAGGTGTACTGTCTTTATTCAGGATCCCCAGGGTGGACACCAGTGGATCGGTGATTATGTTGTCTTTGAGAACAACCACTTCTCCATCTGGTCCCAGCCAGGACAGCTGTATTCCTGTACGGTAGCAGAGATCATTTAAGTGTAGCCAGTCGTAGCACACTCCAAATCCGGTTTCGCTGATGTCTAACTTTTATTCTGCCTCAGTTTAAAACTAAGAAATTGGGACAGACATGCACTCACAGAGACATACAAAGCCTACAGTATGTATAAAAAAGTAATAGGACATGTATCCTGTTTTAGATTTGGAATCACAATTTCATTTTGGATATGTTTTACATTATTAGTACTTTCCATTTCCTCAAGCACAAAGACTTCCCCCATTTACCCTCACATGTGTTAATATAGCAAACATTGAATGAGACTGCTTTTTGGCACTGCATATTAAATTTGTTAAATTAAAAAGATACAAAGTAATGCTTCAGATGCTGATTTTGTCTTTTGGCCATGTGAGTATCATAAAATGCAATGATGGGCTTGAACATAATTTATGTAATAAGCAGTGTTGTAGTCGAGACCACCTCACTCGAGTCCGAGTCGACACCGAGACCACAGAGAGTCGAGTCCGAGTCAAGACCGAGTCCATAGAGAGTCGAGTCCGAGACCAGAGACGGTCGAGTCTAAGTCGAGACCGAGACCAGTGAGGGTTGATTACCTAATTTACTTTTATTTACTTAGAGAAATCCTTTTTTTTTTTTTTTACTGAATTTACTTAGAGTTTAAAAAATATGATCAGTTTAGGGTAAAAAGGCCACATAGTAGGTGGTGTTAAAAGTAATTTTATTATAATTTGTCATGCGCAGTTGCGCACTAGAAAATCACCAATCACTGGGCTTGTCAATCAATTTAAAGAAATATTTTATTAACATACATTAATAATCATGAAAAATATTTTTAATTAAGCTCGAGTGGACTCGGGAATAATTCAGAGTCCTAAAAAAAAAATGTTCGAGTACGAGTCAATTCCGAGTCCAAATGGACACGAGTCCAAGACAAGACCAAGACCATTAAAATATGGTCTCGAGACAGAGTCCGGGTCTCGAGTACTACAACACTGGTAATAAGTATTCTCTTTGTATTAACTATAAATTGACTAGTTCATGGAAAATGAAAGTCCATTATTCACCCTTCTGCCACCTAACTTTCTTCCTTGGAACACACAAAAAAATCTAATATAATACAGCAGTCTTATAATATAATATACAATACTAAACTATAGTCTATGGATAACTTGTATGCTTCTTTTATGGTTTTTCTGCTGAAGCTCAGAAGTTTCAATCCCTTTTCATTATAAATGCATGGAAAAGAGCAGTAAGTGCAGTTCTTTAAAACCTTCCTTTTGTGTTCCCTCGAATAAAGAACATCAATTAGGGTTGGAATGACACTAGGGTGAGTAAAATGTTCTCAATTTATTCAAGTCATTACTATAGCAGATATATGAGATTTTCTACACTGCCTGAACAAATGGATCAGATTTCATCACTTACAGAATGACCAATGAACAGATTTATGTGCAGTGTGACCAAAGCCTAAGGGCCCCTGGCTGCTTTAATGTTTTCCGGACTGTGATGGCCACTGGGTGGAGCTGTCTTGCTGCTACACACACACACACACACACACATACAAACACACAGACACACAAACATCTAAAGAGACAGTCATTTCTGTCTTTTTTTTCTCCATTTGCTTGTCTACCTAGTCATATACACACTCAGACTTGGTTTCGCTATCTTTGTGGGGGCTCTCCATGCGTAATGGTTTTTATACTGTACAGAAACCTGACTTTTCAAATGACCAACGTTTAGTATGTTTATTAATATATTTTCCCACGTGGGGACTGATGACTGGTCCTCACATTGTAGGAGATATCAGGTTTCACTATCCTTTTGTGGACATTCGGTCCTCACAATGCAAATGAAAGAAGTACACACACTCTAGTAGACACTTACTGATGTTGCTATTACTGAAAAATCTACTGACTACTGATCCCTTTACTACCTGCAGAATGTGCCGGAGAACATGTGAAAATCCTCTGTGATGTTCAGCAGTGCCTGTTAGCTATCAGGCCTTCCGACAGGACAACTTCCTTGGCCTTAGACAGTTTCTCTTGGCCCTTTTTTCACAGTTTTACCATAATATATGAGTAGGAGGTTTTTGCTGTTATGGTGAAGAACATCATCTCGGTCTTATCTAACAGACATTAGCCTCTGAGTCATTGCCTTGTAAATCACAATGTGAAAACGGTGCTCTGCCTAGTACCTGGTTCCCTATGGAATTATCCTTGCCATTATACTGACACCTGGGAGGCGCACAGCAATTTTGAGAAACAGCATTTTTAGATCATCTTCAGCTGTGCTGGCAGCGTAACCTCCAAACAATGGAAAATGATTGAAGTAAAAAGGCAAATGTGTTTCAGGAAGTCATTTCTGCTGCGGGTATCACACTCTGTGGTGAACGCTTCTAATCTGAGACTCCTCACTTTGGAAAGTGATCTACACTTGACCTAGGTGAAGATTGTCTTCTGCGTATGTGATTTGGTAGAAAGCCTTTATACACAGTTATGCACAATGCGATCTTTGGAATTTGCTGAGTGAAAATAATTCACTGCTTACAACTTTTCCTTTCTCTTTTCCCTTCTTGGCGGCTATTATCACAGCCCATTCTCACCCCCAAGGTGTCACTTAACTGACGCCATGGGAAGCATTTGGACATGCTTCAATATCTGACGCTTTAGGCGCCCTTTAGCGTCAGTTAGATGACGCCCTAGGATCGCGTGTACCCTACCCCCACCCCACACCTAAACCTAACCGCGTCCTCTAACTGACGCTTTCCTTTAGCGTCAGTTAGATGACGCCGTAGGATCGCGTCATGTAAGTGACGCTAAAGGGCGCCTAAAACGTCAAATATTGAAGCATGGTCAAAGGTGACGCCATGGGGTGAGAATGCGTTGATTATCAAGGTGTTTGTGGCATCTTAAAAAAAAACTTCCTATAAAATATTTTGACTATAGAAACTAGAATTTTTATTTTATTTTTTATAACTAACCCATAACTAACCTAATAAGTAGCTGATGAAAGTTAAATGGTTTTATTCTGATGTTTTATTAATGAAAATTTAAATTGTCAGTGTTTTGAGTTTAGGTATCTTTTTTTACCTTTTACGAGAT